AAAGCTTTAAGTATAGCGGAGCTAAATTGTGGAATAGTCTTCCTTCTGATGCGAAGCTAGCGCAATCAATTTATTCTTTTAAAAACTGCCTGAAAGTTTCACGCTAACATCTTCTAATATACTGTATATGCATGCTTTAGAAATATGGGTCACACCGTTTGGAACTTAATTCTTGTATTGTAAATAGTTGTATATAATTCTTTATTCTTTTCTATATCATATTTGTAATTTTTAATAGTAACAGACGTCCCTCGTGAAAATCAACAAATCGTTGACGAGGCTAACGTCTTTAAATAAAGTTTACATACATACATACATACTAAATAATTCAGATTTGGATTTAAAAGGTAGGCAACCTAGGATTTTGCCTAGAGACCACCCGTTGACAGCACTAATTATTAAGGCTTGCCATGAACAAGTTTTACATAGTGGTTTACGTGCGACACTAGCTCAAGTTAGAAGTAGGTATTGGATACCAAAAGGCAGGCAAGCGGTGAAAACAATTTTAGGAAAATGTTTTGTCTGCAAAAAACATGAAGGTAGATCATTTACAGCTCCAGAAGCAGCTAGCTTACCCGAGTTCAGAGTAAGACAATCGCTTCCATTTTCGAAAGTAGGAGTCGATTTCGCAGGGCCCCTGTATATAAAAGAGGGCAAAGAAATAAAAAAGGTTTACATTACCCTATGGACTTGTTGCGTAACAAGAGCGGTTCATTTAGATCTATTTCGAAGTCTAACTACAACTAATTTTATGAGGTGTTTAAATCGATTTAGCTCCCGAAGAGGTCGACCAAGTTTGATTGTGTCAGACAACGCAAAAACGTTTAAGGCTGCATCAAAGCTAGTCCGGAATTTGCGTGATGATGAATTAAGCGGTTATTTGGCAAATAATTGTATAAAATGGCGTTTTAATCTAGAGAAATCTCCTTGGTGGGGAGGGTTTTTCGAAAGAATGGTAGGAACGGTAAAACGAGCGTTAAGGAAAATTTTGGGTAAGGCAAAGCTAACCTATGACGAACTTTTGACCAATTTACTTGAAATCGAGGGTACTATCAATTCACGACCGTTAACCTATGAGTACAACGAGGTAGGGGTGGAAGTATTGACGCCATCTCACCTTATCTTTGGCTACCGACTTCAATCTATGCCTGATGATGTGGGGATGGTTGACGATGATGAGGCAGACGAGGTTGAAGGGCATCGCAAGAGGTATAGGTTTTTGGGAAGGTTAAGAGAGCATTTCTGGACTCGTTGGAGGCGAGAGTTTTTGGCTGATCTTAGAGAGTACCATAAGGGTAAGAAGAAAACTAGTGATGTAGTTGTGGATTTGGGAGATGTTGTATTGGTGTTTGATGAACGAGTGAAGCGTGGGTTTTGGAAGGTAGCTGTGGTCGAAAGGTTGATTAAGGGTAAGGATGGGGTTGTGAGAGGAGCAATGGTTAAGATGGTTGAGAAGGGGCGAACGAAGTTTTTGAATAGGCCAGTGCAGAGATTGTATCCGTTGGAGATTCAAAGTGATAAGTCTGATGTTGATGGTGATGTTGAAACTCAGTCTTGCGAGAATAGCGACAGGCCACACAGACCAGCTCGTAGAGCCGCTGCATTAGACTCCATCTGGAAAACCCAGGCCATGCTTGAACCGTAAGGGTTCAAGGGGGGGGAGTGTGTCATATATTCCTATATATTGTATTAGTTAATTTAGTTATGTTATTGTTAAAAGATATATTTAGTTGATTAAAGTAAGTAGGAAATAACTTAGATTCCTCAGCCATGGGCTAGGATTATCTCATTGGAACAGTATTTTGTTAATGATAAGTTGTGAACGTCACCGGACGTATGTGTCACTTGCATGTAAATTAAGATAGTTAAAATGAGTGTAAACTGATTGTTTTAGTCAGTTGGCCATTGCGGCACAGACTGAACGTTGTAACAAGGATTGTTTTTAAATATATATGGAAAGGTTGTGAAATGTGTGTTAGTTGATTCTGTGAGAACCAGCAGAGGAGTGAACTCCTCAACAATTCACTCTCATCGCTGTGGCATTCCTCATATTTTCTTTTACGGGCAATGTTACTGTCCTTTGATGATTTTTTATTTTCACAGGTGCCGATATCCAATTTTAGGATATCCCTGTTATCACAAGAAGCTTCTACAATCGTCACATCTTTAAGATAAATTAAATTTTTCTGATATTTGAACACCATAAAAACTAAAATGATAAGAACCTGGCCGCTCAAACCCATCCTTTTCCAGCTGCCTGCGCAACTCTGACAAACTTTTGCTTTCAATAAAGCAAGGAATAACAAAAACCAAATTGTTTTCTTCGAATATTTTGATTACAGACATTTCGTTATACCCCTGTTTTGGAAGCAATATTATAATTGCGACTGTGTTGACCTTGCCATGTGGGCGTTTCTATGCTTGTTTATTTATACGGTATATGTGAGGGATTTTCCCAGGGGATTTTCCCAGCGTAGATTTGCCGCAACGTAAAATATCTTTTGTGGTCAGGCCCGGAGCTGCATTCAGTCGGCAGGACTGCTATTCAGTCGGTAGGACTGCTTGCTATTCAGTCGGTAGAACTGCTATTTGGGTTAAATATTTTCGCGCAAAGGGCAAGATAGGCGTTGGAATTTTTGAAATTTGTTTGATGTTCCGAAAAATTTTGATGTGTCCTGAAAATTTTTTGGTTTTCGACACTGGTCGGTTGAAATGACCTTACACCCCCCCCCCCTGAAGACAGCCCTGTTTGTGGTTATGTTTTGTTGTCCGACATCTCCAAATTATATAATAATATACTGTATATTATTGTAATTAATATCGGTTATTTTTTATTTCTTCCACACAATTTTAAGGTGGCTCGATACAGTTTTCAAAAATTTTGGATTGAATTTTGTACACATATGTCGTCATAGCAACGAACTATCTGTTACTAAAGCCCTGTTTACACTACGCTCAATTTTTGGTACGGCACGGATAACATTGGTACCCGTACCACTTTTTTGGTCTTGGACTACCTATTTAGCTAAGCCCCATTTACACTATGCTCAATTTTTGGTACCGTACCACTTGTTGGTTCTTGGACTACCTAAATAGTCCAAGAACCAAAAAAGTGGTACGGGTACCAATTTTATCCGTGCCGTACCAAAAATTGAGCGTAGTGTAAACAGGGCTTTAGTAACAGATAGTTCGTTGCTATGACGACATATGTGTACAAAATTCATTCCAAAATGTCTTATCATGTTGTATAGTTGGAAAAAAAGCATGGTGACCCCCAATTTTTTTTCGTGCATTATTTTACTTGGACGAAAATCTAACAATTACTGAAATATAAAAAATTCTGTAATGCCATTCTTTTGGAAAACGCGAAAATGTCATATTCTTCGGTAAAATTTTTTTGGCATTACAGAATTTCTTAATTTTTTGTGTAATGGAAGTTTTTAGCGGTGCAATACAGCATGCAAAATTTGAACATAGGTCACAAGACAAAATAAAGAGATATAGCGTATTGTTTTTCTAAAATGGAAAATTCTAATGACGTCAGCAATTCACATAAAACGCTATAGAACACGCGCAATGGCGTGATATGGCGCGAGCAACTGCTCACGTCAGGTCATTTTGGACGTTCTTTCATTTTGTTAAATCAGTTTCCTCGACCTGCGGGTAAAAATAGTCACCCGCTTTTGAGTTCGCGCTATTATTGAGCAGGGTTTTTGTGATAACTATATGGACACAATTTTAAACAAAGAAGATACCCTGAAGATTAAAAATATTAAAACATGTTTTTACTTACAACTGTCAAAGCCCGCTTTCCACCATCACGAAATTTTAATTATTATATATTACACTGTGGGCTTTAATTGAAAATTAAACGAGACTTACCTGGAAGTTGAAGTTTGATTTGGATTCTATGAGTCATCAGCCGGGAGTGTGAGAGTTGTACGAGAGAGTGGAGCGCATGCGCCAATCAGTCTTTAGAGCTAACGGACAAAGACCTCAATGATGAGTGTGACAGTGTACCATATTTGAAACGGGACGGGGAGAAATATTGGGAGGGCGTACAACTCTCACACTCCCGGCTGATGACTCATAGAATCCAAATCAAACTTCAACTTCCAGGTAAGTCTCGTTTAATTTTCAATTCTATTTCGTCATCAGCCTAAGTCGTGTGACATTGTACGAGATTTTAGAGCAATCATTGAGGGCTTTGTCCCAAAGGGATATGAAGGAAATTATTTTTGGTAAAAACAAAAATAGATATATATTTAACATAAAACCAACATTTTGTAATATCAAACAACTAAGTAAGTACGTGGTGTGTCCACAAACAAAGCCATTATAGACTAAGTATCGTTAACATATAAATCCTATGAACTACTGGCGTTTGTATAACACTCTAAGACAGAGTTGCCAAAATTAAATTTATCCTCGCTCGGCTTATTATAAAAACGTTGAAATGTTTGTTCATTCGACCAACCTGCTGATAACATAATATCCTTAATATTACAGTTATTTAACGCTAGAAATGATGTAGATGCTGCCCGAACACTGTGGCTCTTAAATTTGGTAACATCTAAACCCGCAGATGACAAAACAGATTTTATCCACCGAGAGATTGTATCTTTGGAAACAGGAGGGGTTTCACATGGGTTCCAACACGCGTCTGTTTTACTTTCTCCCTGACGTGAAAAGTGCACTTATCAGCCATGAGAATCATATTATCGACAGTTAAAACGTGAATTGTTTGACAGCGCTGTCCACTTAGTAAAGATAACAAAAAGGTAACTTTAACAGTAAGGTCTTTTAAAAGTCAACGCTGAAGGCATAGGCTGCTTTCGGAAAAAATCTAAAACTTTACTGACATCCCAGGTTGTCTGGTAACGAGGGAGTGCCGGACGCAGTTCGAATATACCTTTCATAAAACGCTTGACAATAGGTAACTGTCCAAAAGTTACTGCACTATCACTTAGCTGCAGAATAGTAGATACAGCACACCTCACCGAATTTAGTGAGCTATAAGATAAAGCCGAGTCAAACAGAGATGACAGAAAATCTAACGCCTGTGGTAAGTTGGGGGAGATGAAATCACAATCCCTCTCCATACAAAATTGTAACCATTTTTGTAGATGCACTTGGTATTGAGATTTTGTGCTATCCCTCCATGATGATTCAATGATTTCGATGGATCTTAACGAGTAGCCTCGTAGTAATTGTTGCCTGAGACATGACATACTAAAAGTTTCAGCTTTCTGCAAAGGGGATGAATTATTTTCGGAGAGTGACAAAGGGTCAGCAGTGTGCGACTGGGTTCCAGAACCACTGGAGGTTGAACATGAAGCGGGGCCAACAGTGGATACCAAGGCTGGGTGGGCCAGTCTGGGACAACTAAAATTCCCTGGGCATGCTCCTGAATTATTTTCTTCACGGCCTGTAACAAACAACTAAACGGAGGGAAACAATAAAACTTTGAGTCAGCCCATGAGATAGAAAATGCATCAACAAACATTGCTTCAGGGTCTGGCCTGTAAGAGCAATATAGAGAAAACTGCTTATTTAAGCATGATGCAAAAAGATCTATCTCAGGTTGAAATTTTAAAGTATTGAGCGCATCATGTAATGACAGTGGATTAAGTTTCCATTCTTTATCCTGACTCTGAAAATGGCGCGATTTTTTATCTGCTAAGACATTTTTAGCACCAGGAATGTGAGCAGCGGTAAGCCAAATGTTATATTCTACACAAAATTGCCAGATCTGGCAACCAACCGAGTGACAGGCACGACTATGGCAAGACCCCATGTTGTTAATTACTGCTACTGCTGTTGTATTATCTATCATGAGTTTTACATGCTTACCCTGAATGGTAGTGCAAAATGATTTTAGGGCAAAAAATGCAGCCAGAAGTTCAAGATAATTGATGTGATTTGTGCATTCATCAGGTGACCACCTCCCCCCTGAAGATGTATCACCTAGTACTGCTCCCCATCCTTGTAAGGATGCATCAGAGTATATTGTAATGTCGATTGGGGGGATCATAAGATAATTAAAACTTTCGTCTATATGATTAACCCACCATCTCAACTCTACAAGGCCATCCTTAGAAATAGTCATGGGGGCATCAAAATTACCTTTTGATATTTTTAGAGCTGATACTTTGTCCATTTCAAGGTATCGGTAGTACAGAGCTCCATACTGGACTCCAGGTAAGGTGGAGACTAGGTAACCAATAATCTTAGCTACCTGCCTTATAGAAATATCTATGGGATTTTCAATAGCCGCTATCAAAAACGTTTTGATTCTTTCCTTCTTCGCATTTGTAACTCTAATAGTCATGGTTATGGAATTTATAACAAACCCCAGAATAATAACTTCTTGTGATGGGGAGGTAACTGACTTATCAGGATGAATAACTAAACCTAGGTTGTCAAACAGTGTCAAGAACATTTCTAGCACACCTGGCATATGTATGACCCTGCAAGTAGAAGTCATCAATATACCCACTAATAATATGATGCATCGCTCTCAGTTTTTGCCAGTGGTGGTTTCATAAGTTTGGTAAATTTTCTATGGCATGTAGTCAAACCATTGGGAAGTGCTAAGTATTTATACAACTTGCCTCTATAGAAGAACTTTAGGTATTTTTGATAAGCTGGGTCCACTTTAACACTATAATAAGCATCTTTGACATAACATATAATTTAAATGGGCCCTCCATAAAAGCAGAAAAACTATTTACCTGAGGCTGAGTCTTTAAAAACATGATGTGTTCATAACTTTCTTTTTGAGAGGGGCTGAGGACGGCTGTGGTTGACGAAAACCTTGGCGGAAGTTGTTCCTGTGTGGGTATGTCCCCCTCCCCCTTTGCCATAAAAAAGGTTTACAGGCTGTTGTCTGATATGGTTGGGGGCTCTGGAAGCGGAATGACTCACGATAGTAAGGAGTTCCCTGGGACACAGTATTAACAACTTTGTTTGTGGTTCGGATATCTTGGATGGTCTTGGATAGATCATCCCCAAATAAGAAC